GTCTGTTTCATCATGGGTTTCATCATGGAGCCTTTACCATATGACATTTTGTAATACGTGTGGGGGGAAAACCAATACAAATGATGGTTCAGGTAGTATTTTCTTATTATATATTTAATACATTTAATTTTATACATAATTTTGCATTAGATGTGAAGATCCTGTTGATTACATAAAATGTCTTCAGAAATTTTTTCCTGAAGTGAATCCATGTGAATTTCTGTCAAATGTTCAAACACTCCGTTTCAGTTTACAAAAAATAATACAGCTTTTTTCCTCAAGAAACATTCTGTAAAAAATGCATAAAAATATTTATGTAATAACTTAAATAGGAATATAAACATTGCTTCTTAAATATATTTACCAAGTAATGTTGCTTTAGTTTAAACCACTTTGTGGCACACACCAAATCACATTTGAATTTTTTTATTGTTGCCCTTATCAAGGCTCTTAAGTTACAAACATTATCTAAGATAGAAACAAGACTTTCAAGTGCTTTTTTCACTTTGGTATGTCTGTAAATGAAACAAATTTAAGAGAATAGGTGTTTTTTTGTTGTTTTTTTATGACAAATGTATAAAAATTCTTAAGTGCATTGAACCTGGTTGGCATACGTTTTGTTTCCTAATCAGATGGCTTGTTCAAGTTGTCTTATTAACTATAGTACAACTTTTCAGAGATATCCATATCATCTTTTTTGTCTATAGAAACAGAACAGAGACCTAAAACTTATCATAAAAGCATTTTTTCTTTCTTTGTCATTCTTGATATTGATCAGTATTTGTTTTGACATTTTACTTGCCCTTTTGTACGCCAAAGTTTAATAATATTACACATGTGTAACATAAAAAATTACTCTTATTAGTTATACTACATGGAAAATACGTTATGTAACTTGGTCATAAAATAAATTGAATTTCAAATATCAAAAGTATTTTTGCTTTAACGTAACCTTTTCCCAAGATAATGATTAAAAGTCTTGCAAGGTGATTGAAGGATCTGAGTAGATTTATACTGTATGATATGTATGCATTTAATTTGTCTGTCTTCAAGACAGCTCTGTGAAAAATCAAAGACAATAGCTTTCCCAAATGTGCTGTTATTGGTGTTAGAATTGAATGTCCTGTTATGGTGTAAAGAGACAATAAACATAAAAATTTAATAATGAAGATGAACAACTTGTTCTACAGACAAATCAGTGGAATGGTGAACAGAATTGCACATTCTTATATGGAAATAACAAGAGAAGGATTTTTCAAACCATTTTAAGTATGGTTGTTGTTGGTTTTTTTTGTCCAAATCTTTTAATTATCCAAAGGGTTGTGAAGTACTATAAATATTAAAGGCCCATTATGCCTAAGAGAAATGCTATCATTTTTATTTCTCTTTTGGCATTATATTACAGTTTCCAAAAAAAAATAATACTCATTTGCCATATAGATGATGTTCTTTTGCCCTAATAATCGATTTTCAATTTAATTCTGAGCATAATCTTTATCATTCTTTGCTGACTTTTTCATTTTAAGCACTTCACTAAGTGACCTATGTAAAAAAAATTGACCTCAGTGGAGCTCCTTTAATAAGTAATACACTTCAGTCAAATGCAGTCAATAGTTGTATTTTATCAAATAAATTCACTGATTTGGCAATAAAAACTCTCTTAAGCCATCCATGTCATAAAACTCAGCCAGAAACAGTGGGAGGAAAATGTTTTATTGCAAACTTATTGGCTCACCTACTGATTCAAATTAATTTCTATGAGGATTTAATGAGGAAAACAGGTTTTAATGAGAAACTTGCACTATCACATCATATCAATCATACATGCAGTCCTGGAAGAAAAAATTATATCTTTCTAGTAATGGAAGTATTTACCCTTATTCTAATAAATTTGTGTAATGGACCTCACAGTCCTGCATTCAATTTGAAAAAGTCTGTTTAAAATCTCAGGGATTTCAGTGAAAATAAAAAAAGAACAGCCGTAATAATGGTAAATATGCTTTTTTGATTGGGTTTTACATCACACCAACATACAGTATATTAGTCATATGGCAACTTTTTAGCTTTAATGGTGGAGGAACACTTCAGGCACATTCTGTAAGCTATAGCTGGATAGCTTTCTCACATGAAAAAAAAATGGAAGATGTTGGCATGGCTCAAACCTACCACAGTGAGAGGCAAGAGGTTTGAAGTCGAAGAATTTAACCATTTTGCCACAGACACCCCTTCCATCCATTTCCTAACTGGATTGCTCCTTACATGAAAAAAAACAACTCTAGTGGGATTCAAACTAACAGTTGCAAGGGGCAGTCTGAGTGAGTGAGCCTTCGGGACTTTAATTGCTTTACGAGGCAACTATCTTTACACGCAGCAAGACTTCCACCCACCCTGTGATATTAGTGATCTGTCTAAAAAAACCAAAGACAGCAGTTAAAAAATTTTATTGGACTAATTTAATAAACAGAGTGCACCTGCATATACCTAGTTTATTAGATACTGGTAAATTATTTCATGGTCTTAATAGGCTAATTTACACAGAAATAACCTGCAAAATTCTGGTAATAGCAATGTAATTATTATAATACTGCAACAACATTATAACATTCTCTGAAATATTAATAATTCACAAAATAGCCTGAAAAGTGATATTCAAATCTAAAGATACAGTATCTGCAAGGTAATGCATTCACTTTGTTGCTGTTTTTTTTCCCAATTATCTAGTATTATTAATCATACCAACAATATTGAGGCAATAATTATATAATTATCAATAAAAATTATTTGTTTACAAAGCCAAAACCTTCCAAAGGTCAAGTTCCAGTTACAAAACAAGAACATAAAACTGATTTCATGAAATAAAACATGTTAAACTTTTGCGAAAAGCAATATTTCTACAAATTGGAATTTGCTCTACTTTGAATTTGAGACTGTGCACTGTTTAAAAAACTGAACAGTAAACAGGAAGTGAAACTGTTCAGGCTGGTCCGGTACAAACTGGTTTGCAACTTGGCATGGCAGTATCACTGCACAGGCTTAAGTGATTAAAGAGTTGGCATCAAAAAAAGGCTTGATGGCTTAATTAAATAACAAATTGGAATTTGCTCTACTTTGAATTTGAGACTGTGCACTGTTTTAAAAACTGAACAGTGAACAGGAAGTGAAACTGTTCAGGCTGGTCCGGTACAAACTGGTTGGCAACTTGGCATGGCAGTATCACTGCACAGGCTTAAGTGATTAAAGAGTTGGCATCAAAAAAAGGCTTGATATGACAATGATATATCACATGTTACAAGTTCTTGAAACAGATTTCTTTCTCTATGTTTTTTTTAAAATTAAATGTTTTAAAAGCAATTCTTGGTGCACATTTTCTGCTTAACATGTTTCTGTGTTGTAGGCTTTCACACTGTTTTAAAACTTTTGTAAATAAATGAAGTCTAAAGATAAATAAATAACTTCTCAAACATCTGGTAGCATAAAAAAACTTTAAATATTTAATTCTTTTTTCAGGTTTGATAATATTAAAGTAGGCAAATACTACGAACAGGGAAGTAAAAAACTAACTTTGACTCCCATGTATAAAACACAGCAGAGACTGTTATTACAGGATTGTATGCCCGCATAGCGCAAGAGCCAAGACTTGTAATCTCAACATTGTGGGTTCAATTACCGGGCTGGCCAACCTAAATTACAAATCGGTCTTTAGATCCAGGGTCTGTGTATGAGTGCTTAAACACTTGGCACGCTAAAGAACCAGGAGAAGCTGGAATTGGGGCATCTTTCTGTATCTGTATCTTGTTCTATCCTCCAAACATATAAAATGACTAATACTCTTCTGGAGGACTCACCCATATTGGCAACCGGTGGCAAGTATAAATAAACTCAAGCTCTCACATACATCGCAGGATTTGGCAAGGCCAGATCAACCTCTGAACATTCAAACTTCATTATAGACTTAGCAAAAATCTACTCAAGGGGCAAAAAACATGTCAGTCAGAACAAGGAGCTGCTGTAAATATAGTTGAGATACTTATTGCAATATTCCATTAATATAAATTAATATACTTCATTATTGTCATAAACATATGTCAATAATGATACAGTCAGTCTATTCTATGATTCAAAATTTATAGGGGTCAGGAGGGCCTTCTTCCTGCCACATCATTTTGAAATAGTAGAAAATTTGTTCTTTTTTTAAAGTGAGGGATTACCAATAACCTCTTTTTATTTTTACCAAATTCACAAGCAAATTTTGTCTACATAAAGAAATAAACTGTTAGGTGCACACCTTCATTCATAACTACAAAAACAATCTCTGTTGACTGCTTTAGGGAATGAATATTTGGCTCTGTCAGAGTGTTGTTACTTTTCCTATTAAGCAGGTGGTTGCAAGTTCAAATCCCAGCCACTGGGAAAATTTCTAATGTTTTTGCAGTTTTTATATTAATAACTTATAACATTTGTAAGAGACCGATTAAATGTTCTGTTCTGTTCTGATCAGTTCTAATATAATACCCCTATTATAACAGAAGCCTGGAGACATGAAAAATCATGAAACAGATCATGGAAGGTGAATAAACCATGCATAAACAGACTAGACAAAAAATACATATTGTTTATATCTACTTTACACATTCCATTCCAACACTTGAAGCATTATTCTGATATAAGTGTTGCATGGGGGTGTTACAGATATATTGGTACAGACTAAAAGTAACTTCAGGGTATTGAGACATAAAAATATCATTTCAGGAAAACTGAGAAAGGATTTCTTTATGGATGCTTCATCAGACCAAGTTTGGTGAAGATTCCAGAATTAGTTTTTTAAAAAAATCATTTCAAGAAAATATTTCAGCCTTATAAGGAGCATATGATAATTTATTTCTCTAAATTTGATAATAGGGGCCATCTATGTGGAGATGATTCATGCATTAGGTGGCATGAGAAAATGTCGTAAAATGTTGTTGTCAGTTTTTTTTGTTTTTTTTTAAAGGGGGGGGGGGTGTTGTTGTTGTTTTTTTCCCCATTCTCAGTAGATATGTAATTATCAAACAATACATGTATAAACAAAGAAACTTCAATGCTGTACATACCAATTGGTGCCATTTTATTACAAAACTTTTTTTCTTACCTGAAATGAGAAAAAAAAAAACAAATTTAATATTCATAAATCATAAATCTCTTATATTGAAAATAAGTTATGAAGCAGTCAATTTTAAACTTGAATGCCCCCACACCCCAATATTTGGAGGTTAGTTTGGGGGAAATAAAGAGTTTTAACTCTTTGTTTATCCCAGAAGTGTCCAGTTAATATTGTAGTTTGGTCTCAGGCACCAAAATAGCAAGGATGATTATAATCTAAAGTCCTCACTATTCCCCTTAGGCAAGTTTTACAATCCTTCCATTCACTGACTCTTCATAATTTAAGATAAATATTTTGTCAGCAAATAAAACCACTCTAACAATTATACTCCTCAACAAATCTTCATAAACAGTTCCGAAGTTTTTTGACCAGCAGTCCATGTCATATAAGCTACAACATTTACTTCAACAAGCACAATAACAACTCAAGGCTACTATAATATAGACAGACAGATATATATATGTGTTGATTGATAGGCTAATTTTAAAGTAGTTGTTTCCAGTCATTTGTAGCAAGATCAGATATTGTATGAATTGTTATCAAAAACCCTCATTCACTTGGCATGGAAGGCGATATTTATTCTGATAATATACCAGTACAATCTGATGTTGTTCAGTTACATTGCTTAACACCCACAATCCTATTGTTCCAAACTTATTTTTGTAGGACTGTTGTTATAATGGCCAGTGATAAGATCTTAAACGGAAAAAACCAAAACGCACATATAACCAAAAAAAACGCTCGGATTTTATTCTGTAATGACAACATGATTGTGTATATAGATATAATTATGTAGATATCCTATGAGTATGAAAATCAATCATCATATAAAATATTAAAAGCGTATAAAAATCAATCATTATAAGGGCCAATCAACGAAATCTTACCGAATGTTTACGAAAGTATATTTAAAACGAAATCAGCATCACGCACTTGTCAATCAAAGAACAATCAAAGCATTAATATAGATAAGTCTATTACATTTTAATTTCTAATTTAAGCCCCTCTTTATGGGAAATCTCTAAATAAAACACTATCTCTGGTGGAAACTGTGCAATATACACAAATATTCAATCTTATAACACCATAGGCAATGCTATAATAAAATTTATCGCATCTTTATTCAAAGTTTTTTTTTAATAAATAAAATACTCTTAAGATTTTAAAGAGAGGCAGGAATTATAATCATAAGCAATTGCGAAGGCTTTAACAAATGTAGTAATATTTCATAATGATATAAAAACTTTATTCCTTCAAGATAATCTTCGTTACACATGTCAGCTATTAAAACTCAATCTTGGAAATCGGTAAATTTCAGCAATAAAATATTAATATAAAATTCTGACAGCGATCTTAATAGAGCAATTTATTTGTAATAAAGTTCCGATTTCTTCAGGTGTATTATCAGTGTTATACAAGACTGAAATACAGATCTATCATGTAATTTCATTAAATATAATTTTTTTGGCATGAGGTACAAGGCTGAAGAACTAGTTTTTTTCCCAATGTAAAAAATTCTTGAAAATTTTAAATTAAAATTTAATTTGAAAGTTCTCCCAACATGTGAAACATTTTCTTTTTCATATTATTATCCTTTTCAATTACAGTCACCACCCAAGTGAAAAGAAACCTAGGATCCCAGGCCATCACCAGGATCCATTAAATGGCCAAGATATACAAGGATCCTAATGAAATGTGGCATTTAACCAGACAGAGTCCTGGTGTGATCAGAGGGAGGTCTTTGACCAGGATTCTTTAATAAGAAACTTCCAAATTTTATTCAGTGACAAATGAAAACAAGTGTCTCATTTCAGTATAATGCAAGTCAATTTACAAGTTCACTGTACTTTAAATTTGAAATAAATCTATAACCTTAAAAACACAAGTAGTCTGTCTTGGAACATAAAACTTGCACAGCAATAAAATCATTGTATTATTCAAGGAACCTCTACTAACTATTAATTCCGTCTTTAAATGATAAAAATGTCACCCGACGCATAACTGTATTGCATAATCATAGAGTCACAGGAAATTTAGAACTATCCTTTATAGTATGAAATGCTGGAGGCATTAAAAGAGGGGGTATAATTTACATATACATTACTCTAAATAAGAAATAAAATGATTTGACACAATTTTCTCCGACATCAAATTATCTCTTTCATGGAAAAAAAAAACTCCACTAATATGACCTGTTTATTCTTTACAACTGTTTTTGCATTCACAATGTATTTGGAAATATACAACTTAACTTAAAATTCAGAAATCTTTCACCTGGAAGTTACACAGTATTTCACTTCCGATCACACCGCAATAAAAAGTAGTTCTCTGGAACTATTTGCAAAATTAATGTTTAACTTAAAATCAACTAAATACTGTAACTGAAATATTGCAAGTAAATTAAATTTTTATTATACAAACATGCACTCATGAACACACACACAAAATTTTGTTTTACCGAAACAACTTTATAACCGACAAGGAAAATCTATTCATATTTATGCCTTGGATTAACAGAAATGTGATAAGAACCAAATCGCTATAACCATACTATTATCAACAAAACCGACAGGAGCAAAAAAATGTTTCAGGTACTTGGCCAATGAGTAGCATTTTAGAAACATTAACTGGCCTCCAAAATTAAAAGCTTTTAGTTGTAAGAAATAAAATTCAAAGGGTTTCTGGGCCTTTAAAATGTTATAAACCAGCATGCAGCAACTTATATTTAGTTTTTGTATAGAAGTGAAAATACATAACTTCGTTTATTGCGCCTTATAACCATTTTTTAAACATTATAAAACTCATGTTTGACCTTTCTAAAGAAGTAAATATTTATTCATTTCTGAGGCATGATGTGCCTTTAAAGGTTATAATTACAGATTTGCTATTTTCATCTCAAAAAGAAAAGTAATTTATTATTTAAATTCCAGCTAATTTACAGAACCATTAATGACTGACCAATAAGATTCGATGTTACAAACATGCGCTTTAAAAGTATTAAAGCATCACATGACGGGCTGACATTATTTCTAGTCACTAAATCAGACATAGAATCTCGAAAGCTCAAAGGTCAATGCCATTTCTGTCAATTATGTGATTAATAGCATAGCATTTTTTCCATTTTTCCAGACAAGCCGAAAAAAATTCAGTTAGCATACATAATGAAATCAGAAAGGCAATGTCTATATTTGCAATAAAGCATTTTATGAGACTACCACGGTAATGACATTGTCTCAGAAAATTATATAGTGTGCTTATCATAAAATCTACTGTAATTACATACAAAAACCTATCATGTTGGGATATTTACTTGCATTTTTATGGCTTGACCTTTTGAAAACCGCTCTTGAAGAATTTTTAATTGCTAAAAAATTACTCCAAAAGGTCTTGCAAAGTAATAATATCATGTTTATGATATATATATCCTATAGCCAGGACTTTTCGTGTAATTTTTCTATGTATAATTCCTCCTCATGACTTACTTTCTTTAATAAATATATAGAGCCAGGTCTAAACCTTGGCACCTCCGCACAATCTAACCTGAGGCTCTTTATGGTTGTCAGAGAGTCCTACTCTAAATCGCTTTTCAACAAGAAAACCTATGGAACTATTTATAAAGACCTCTACAATAAGAGAGGGAACTATTTTGTCTCATTTTCTACAAAATCATGGTATTAGGATCACCAAAAGATATAATTAGACAGACAAACAGACAGATCCTATGTGACTAGCTTACATAATCACACTTGATTTATATATTCACATAAAAGTAGGCTTCCATCTAACAAGACACTTGTAACCGTCTCTGGCGGCTTATGCTATATTTATATACTGTGGCACAAATTATCTTTAGAAAGGAATTAGTCCATCACGGAAGAAAAGCATTTTTTATCATTTTAAAAATATAAAATGAAGCATATATGTGTCATTTTGTTTCATTGCATTTGTTTTCTTTCCTAGTCGAAAATCAAATCTGATGGTCTAGTGATTGCTAGCCGCATGAGTTCAAACCCCATCAGGTACATTAGTCGTTGTTTCCTTGAGCAAGAAACTTTACACTCATTGCTCAGTACTGGTTGGTTCTAGGAACAGATTCTAGAGCGTGTCTATAAGCTTAAAAGCTTCCTATACAATCAAACTAAAATAAAGTCTGTATAAACAAAAATTCTTTTATTTTCCCCTCATATATGATTATGTAATAAATATGTAATTGAGTGGGAATTTCAGAATTTACCATTATGTCATGAATAATTTCTAGCATGGTACATGATTTCAGTGCTTTAAGCTTCTTTTCTCATGAATTAATTCTGACTATTTAACTTAACTTTATGCCTGGAAACTTACTAAGTTTATAATTATAAAAGCTGGTAAATATAATTGAAAATTTAGCCTATCCTAGATCTCAATTACAAATTATTTTCATTGCCATTAATCTAATCAGACAGTTTAAATTATTTCATCAAATAAAGTGAAAAAATACTGATTGAAATAATATGAAGATCTTAAAAAGAAATATTTACCAGTGTAGAAATCCGTTGAAATTATACATGTATAAACATGTGAGGATTAAAATTATATGGAATCTGTATAATATTTTCAATATAATTGTAAACACTGGTATATAGTAATGATTTCTTGATAATTTCAACAGTATTAATGATTTCATATACAATGTAGCTTTTACATTGGAAGACATGAATGAAATTCATAATTACTATATAATGGTTTAAACATATATGAAATTATAAAGTCCATTGTAGAAAATATATGATATTTTAAACTCCTTTGAAGAAATTATATAAAATCATATAAAAAAAACTATTGTAGAAATTATATGAAATCATATTTACCATTGTAGAAATTATATGAAATCATATAATATCATTGTAGAAATTATATGAAATCATTTAATACCATTGTAGTAACTATAAGAAATAATATATACTGGCATAAAAATTATATGAAATAATACGTACCAGTGTAAAAAT